TATACTACAGGAATGGCTTTGCGACCGTCCGGAGATAAATAACAAATAAATGCCGCTACCCACAGGATTGCTCAGCACTTGCCGCCGTTATACCATACACCATGCGACTCTCTTGCACTCCCACTTGCTCGTCCCAACCCCTAGATAGAAGTCACCTCGACACTCCGCCACCTGACCCAAGCGGTCCCATCACTCCGTGCGATGCACCGGTCACGTGCTAATTACCTCCCGGCCGCTTGCTGACTGATGCTGGCCCCATGGTGACTTGTATGCATCTGCACCTTCAGTAGTTTGATGGAAACGAGAGGGAGTGAGTGTTGGAGGTTGGGCATGAGGACGACGCCCCTCGACAGAAGCGTCCGCGGGCTCCGGAGCTAATTCATCTAGAAGTCGCATTGGTTAAGTCACTCCGGAGCGCCTGTTCGCGGAGATAAATCGCGGAATGGGTCCGTGTACGCCTCGAGGATGCTAGGAAGTCTGGAGCTAAATAGAACAAGTCTTTAGAGCCCATAGAAGCCTAGAGGCGTGTGAGCGCTGTGTCGAATAAGCTCCGCAGGGCTTGTACGATGTGCTGAGTCCGCGTTTTCGGGGGTCAGACGATCCCGAGGCTTATCACCACGTGTAAACCCACGTTGATGGATCGGGTACGGGTACCTGTGGGTTCTGGTTTCAAGAGCACGTTGAACAACACATTCTCGGTACCTGGCGGGTCACTAGTATGGTCAAAGGCAACCTGTACCTGTACCCGCCGGTACCCTTACCCGCGACCTGCACGGCTTCCCGTAACCCATGCCATTCACTAAGTGCAACAGTAATGTTAGTCAGTCCCGGGTTGCTGCTCAGTCACTGCTGTGTCCCCTAGCTGAGTGGCACCCATAGCACTATGACCCCGGGAAGGCACTGGGAAGGGTGGGACAAGCTGGGTGATTGAAGGGGCACATATGCCCGCCCATTCTGACAGTGGATGGGATGTCTACAAGCCTTCTACAAATTGTAATACTGGTTTTTATGGTAATCAATTATCAGCCAATGGCAATTTGTTGCCAGTCTGGGGAAATTTTGATGCCAGAACTACATTTCACAATGGTTGTACAGTGACAGACCAACAAGCTATGCTAACTACAATGGACTTTGGGAAGCACAAATTGAATTGAACTAGCTGAACTGATCACAAGCTGCAGGAACTATACAGTCATAGTTGGATTGCTCAAACTTCACTTGTGTCCTGCTTCAAGAAACTCTGTGCAATAATCATCTTGAGCCCCTGCACCCATTCATTCAGACAACGGGCTTACCCTTGCTGACTTGATGGAATGATTCTCAGGATTGAGAACAGTCTGGCTCTGTCCTGCATAAGTTTTGACAGCTTCCCCAGTGCCAACACGGGTATGGCTATTGCCTGAGGTGTTTGGTGTCAGTTCAATAACATTAGTATTCCCTACCACGCGGAAATGGTTCAGTCGGAGTGAAGTGGTATATTCCTGGCCAAATTCTCCTTTTCCACTGATACTCCTGCGAGCATTTAGCCTTGGAAGAGAGTGAGTGTTGTGGATAGTATACAAGCAAGATAGCCACTCACGTTGCAAGGAGTGTGTTACTGTATAGTTTGGATAACAAGAAGTAAAAGCTCAGAAAGGCAAAGGTTGCAGGTAATTTTGAATGCTATGCCACATTGTATCATTGCAGTCCTTTAATATTCTTGAATGAAAAGAACAAACCACAATGACATCCAACAGTGCACATAGACTAAGGAGTTTGGAATGTCAGCACACAGCACTAGATTCTTGTTTGTCACAAATTCCCTCATACCTGGTGAGCAGCCCATTGTTCACAGCATATAAAATTAAGGTATTGATCATTTTATCTGTCCTGAACTGAAGTTGAAATAGCTTTCAGACCTGTAGCACTGTCTGGCTTACCTATTGATCCCACTCCTTGCTCTGTTTAGCAGGAAGGATAATGCCACAGTGAGTAGAACATCTGTAGCAACTGTGCTCCCCAGGGCCATATTGATAAGATCCTAGACAAAGGGCATGAGACCTCGTGGACTTTATGCTTGATCATCAAGATGCACGTTAACTTCTTACTCACCACAATCTCAGGTACATGGGTCAGAACCCTGATCAGGATGCTTTCATGAATGCATTAGCTAACTTGTCATGTTTGACTACAGTCAAACATACAGCCGTATGCCATATGCTGCAAGCAGGGTGGTCAGGTATTTGCAATGATGGCACCAAAGTCAGGACTTACCAAATCCAGATGCTATGTCAATTGATGGGCCCTGAAGGTAAGTATATAATGGAATTGAGCTCAGTTCACTCACCCAGACCAAGGAATGCCAGAACAACCTGTAAATGAAGTCTTAGTCAATACAGACTAGGAGATGGTAGATGAATTGAGTTTACTGACCAATGGTATGACAAAGGCCCACCGGATGATCCCCTTGCTCACTGTTGGCAGCAGCAGTCACAGCTTATAAGCAATATTCCAAGTCTGATGAAGCAGACTTACTGCACCACACCCGTCGGATGAGATAGCTTGAAACCCATATGAGCACCTAGTCACATGCAGCACCATACACCTACCATTGGACTATGAAAGCTATCAAAGACTAAACAAATCATCAACAAAAGCTCTGGAAATGTATAAGGAAGATACATGCAGTGAAAAACACATCAGCCTGGCTCAGATGTCAGTAAACAATGTGTTGTACAAGCATATGCAGCATACCGGGAGTGACCTATAGACCAGCCAAACCGATCTTTAGCCCGATAATACTGCCTATGAACTATGACTATGCACATACCAAACAATCTCAGCTTCTGGGATACCAAAGTGGGTGATAACATAATAGTAGACTGAATGGGTGATGATAACTGTGTGTGCAGTATCCAAAGTCCTGCCCATTACACCATTTCTTGTTTAGCCAGGACATCAACATGAGAGATAATCAACTCACCACAAAACACATACTAGCAGCTTATTGGCAACTGGATCATGCTCATAATTGACAAAATAATAGTATGTTTGTGCATTTGTGATGCCATAGAGCCTAACCGTGAGGAGATTAAGCATATAGCTGCATCCATGACATTATGACTTACATGACCGCTACGACAAGTCCGACAAGACCAGCACCCCATGTTTTGTCCTCGGCAACCATGCTGAGAGTCGAGAGATGAACACAAAGGATTGGTGTACCGGTATACTAGTAGCTGATGTATATATATAGTCGGCTGCCCGAGAGCAGAAATGTTGGGACCCCGCATGGAACTGGGAATCGCCATAATCCCGTGCCACTCTGGCGATGGCACATCGTGTCTAAAATCATACCAACTTTCCCTCCGTATTTTGTGTGTCCCTGTAAGAGCATGATATGACAGATGATAGATGATGTGAAGTATCAATGCATGTCGTAATGTGCGTGGGCGTGTACATACCGTAAGTGCTGAGACGGTCGGTGCTCCGCTTCCTGATTACTCCAGAAACCTGGCTGAGGATGCTTAAGCAGTGCCCCTGAGAACGTCGATAGCATCCCGCTGGCACATCAGGCAGACGCAGATATTTGAAGCGAAGATAGCGAGAATCCCACAGGGAGTGGCTGAGACGGTGACCCCGGTGCGGCCAATTGCTGATTCAGATAGCGGCAGCGTCATTTGATCGGATAGCACTGCGACGCCATTGGCGTCTCGAACCCGTGTTTACCTCTCTCAGCAAGTATATGTGTCTCAGGCTGACGTGCGACGAGACGACTATGATTTTCCTACTACGTAGCGGCGAGTCGAAATCAACGCCTCTTCATTGAAAGCTTTCTATGAGCAAACAATCTCGTCGCCGAGGCTAACGGGAAGACATCAGAAGACGAAAAGCACAGACCATGAGAGAGCAATTATCTATATCACTTCGGAATTCGAACAGGTAAAGATCATTGACTAAGAATTCGCGATGCATCAGCCGCAATCTAGGGGGATATCACACTTGCCCTGAGCATCGACTCTGAAAGAATCGAAAACAGGCCATATTCGGAGCACAGGCCATGATGTGGGCGCATCGGTGGTTTCGTGCGAAGAACACCCTTTTCATCGCTCGGCCCTCCCGGATCGGACCTGATCATTTTGAGCATGGCTCCGCTGCTCTGGAGTTCTGTGAATGTCCGAGGACTGACCGATCTGATGCATGAGGCATAACAGTTTGATGTACCGCGGACATATAGAGTTGCTGTGGTGGCCATTTCTCTCAGTTGATAATTCCTCTTGACATCCTAAAATTCCGTCAGCGCGCAACTCGGAACTTGACCACCTAGGTAGCACTGTGCGACGGCTTCGATGAATGTCTTTTCTGATTGGAACATAGATAGGTCCTGGAATAGCTGTGGAACCCATCGTGCGTCTGGACCTATCTCTCCCATCTAACGCACCCCAGAATCAATCCCGCGTGGTATGCGATGGCTAGAAATGGTGTGGCAATGAACAGAGAACTTGAAAATACGATTGAGGTATCGGACCATCACGTGCTGATGTGACATATTCGTGTATGTACAATTGTCTGACTCGGATGGAAAGAGATGGATGTACTTGAGCAGATGGAGATTGTTTATGAACTCCATCTAAGACGTTCATTCAACTATTCCGAGTGGTCGGGCTGCACTATCAACCCTTGCAAAGCTTTCTCAATGCCCTGAACCTCCTTTTCCCACAGGGGGCGTGGCAGTCTAAAACCATCACCTATGCGTGAATAAGTTATATCCCCCATTCGTCCCACGGCCTTGAGCTTAGCAGGATCGACGGCACCCTTGTCCGTCAGCACGTCCTTGCGGACATGGATGTACTTGACAGTCCCGAGAATAAGACTTGTTGTTGCCTTCTGCGTAACGGGGTGAATAATGTCGATGATTTGCAGAAGCTGCATACGCTTGTCAATGAGAGATCTTCTCATAGCTTCGGCACACAAACCTCGCACTCCATGCTAAACGCACTCTCCTTCACTCGGGCGGGTTTGACATGCACCTTAAGAGGAATCTTCAGCTTCCGACGCCGAGCACGAACCAAAGGGTCTGCTCACGCTGGGAGCCTTCGTCAAACCACTAAGCGGCCACTCGCTAACCTCCGCGGGCGCGTCTATGGAGCACACATTCGCCGCCTCGACCCAAGGCTCGCTGATGATGTTGACAGTAAATCCCCTGTTCGCCTTGATGTTGTCTGTCGTATCATGGACTCGAACAGGACCGTTGCTGCAAGATATCGAAACAACAGGAGGGCTGTGTGTCACCTTCATCTTCCAGTCAGTCCAGTGGGAGGCACGGAGACAGGCGCTTCACACCATATTAAACCAGCTGGAGGAAGGTCAGATACAGTCAGATCGAGCGGGGACAGCAACAATACCTGAAAGGTGCCAGGTTTTCAATGCCAGTGTTTGAGATAGTAGATACGAAGGCTATCGGCCTCGGTACGATGCCGCTGATCATGAGTATGTACAGTTTTCTGCGGGAATTGAACAGTTTGGGTGAATGGGGAGGAAAGTGTAGGTACGAACATCGGATCTTCTTTCTCTGTGTCAACAACCTTCCAACCTTTTGTCTCTCCTTGCGCCCATTCCCTGCCCTCTTGGGTGGCCTCGATCTTCTGCCCATAAGTCCAATTCGGGTTTGGAGACCGAGTCTGTTGAAACCCGTATGTATCATCGAATGCAGGCAAGTCACCGGGGGGCATCTTCAAGAAGTCCATGGCGATAACGTCTTTCGTGGACGAAGAGCGGGCTTGGAGGCTCAACTATCTCTCCTAACCTTTATTTGAGTATGAATCGTCCTGATGGGTCTGACAACAGAGGACGAACCTATAGAAAGGCTCAACATGCATGACCTGTGCACGCCGAATGTTTCCTGCTTCCACAAGATCGGGTCAGACAGTTCGGCAGATATATCTACCTATATCTGCATTTCACGTTCTCATTTGACACATGCGAGCTGCGGACACGCCGGTGCAGACGGGGCTGTGGTGAATGAGATAAGGATATCATCAGTCAATGACCGCGTGCCGTATCAAGCCGCTGGCAAGGATGTGCGATTCCACTGGCGATCACGTCGAGACAATCCCTCGTATTTAGAATCTGCTTCAAAGTTCGCACATCGGCCGCGGCACCAAATCACTATGGGAGCTTAATATACTGTACCATTTCGATCTATTCGGCAGGCGGTGTGACGTGTGACTCATCTGACCCGTTCGTCATTTCGGCACCTTACTATATATGGTGCGAAGTGGCGCCGCAGGCCAGCTTTGATACCATATATGGTAACTTCTACCATCCCAGAGGCCCTGTGACCGGTGACAAACACCAGATTTCGTCTTCGGCAGGTACCCCTGTGACGTGTGACTGCCGAATAGATTGAAATTATACAGTATATAGCTTTACATGAATACTTAGATAGCTATACATTCCACACCATGATCGATCGAAGAGTCCAGGTATGCCAATTCCAGCAAAACTTGTGATGCACCCTGAGCGTATGGGTGTCGTCCACTTCCATCGGCAGTCAGAGAGTTGGGCGGAAAGTAACCTTGCACACACGAGAGCGCAGTATCATGACGTGGTAGCGGACTCGCCATTTCGCACTAGCAGTCGTTACGCCAAATTGAAGGCTGGGGACTTGTTTTGCACGCTGCCCCACCGCAGGTCCCAACCATAGACTCGCAATCGTAACTCGACCTGCAATACTTAAGTCGACTCGCAAGACACTCTTAATTAATCGTTCGGATCGGTCGTTTTGCAGCAATCCCAAAAGGGCCAGAGGTTATGTACTCGCGCGATGAGCGAACGACCGCAATTATTGAATGCACCCTGATCGATATCGTTCGCTGTCGTTTGCGCGTAATATGGAGTCGGAGTAAGCCATAGTGCTGGAATACAAAGAGGTGTCTCACAGTCAGCGGAGCGAACTGCGACAGCAATTGCAACAAATTCGTCGAGTTCATTCTTGTTTGCATAACGGTCTAAGTCTTTCGTAGGAGGCGCAGTATCAAGCCTATTTCAAGTCATGGCCAACGCGAGACGCGCGCGATCATCAACGAGCAAGTATCTGTTTATGGCACGGCAATTGATGTTTAGACGCGGGTATGGTTCGCATCTTTTCAATTATCACTCATACTGTCGGATCAGAAGATTCCAGAAACGAACCTCGAGCACGGGATCCCTTCGTCAAAGGCCAGTAAAATGAAAGGTATGGAATTCACCGCTTCTCGAGGTTGCATTCCCACTAGCAGTTCCTAGTGCGTCAACAGCATTCTTCCTGGCGTGTCTGAAACCGAAACTCCCGACGTGACCGCTACAGCGGGCGCGCTTAATGTTCGGAACATCTGATTGAAAGAACAAGAGATACTAGTATCTTCAACATCAAGGGGATGTCCATGATTTCCGTCAGGGAAGGTACAAGCCGAGACATAGCTTCGTGGGCAAGACATCCTGCAGCGTACATAAAATGTATGATGCAATTGGCTGCCATTCGTACGGTCCAACGTGTGCATTGGCCCTCTCTCGCAATCAAGTGATACTCCACTGCCAGCGTAACCGGCTTCCTAAG